CCTATTTGCAGCAGGAAACACCAGGTTAAACAATTCTGCCCTGTAATCTGGTGAGACAAGGAGCAAGATCATCACCAGGAAACAAGTCTTTTAGAAAATCATTTTATCTTGTTCTTAGAGAAATAGCACTGCACAAAACATGGGCCTCAAAACCCTTCAACCACTGTAGAGGGTTCTCGTAAAAACTAAGCATGAAGGTACTTGAAAAGACAGTTTACCACACAAACTTGGAAAACAGTACCAGAGAAGAGCAGAAATAAATCTAGTGACAAAAATAAACTGCAATAAACTGCAGCTCATCCTGTCCTCCTCCTCCTCCACTCCCCACCTTTCATTTAATAGTCAGCAGGAGAGATAATAATAAAATACACTGACAGCCATAAACAGAGATGCTAGTGATAAACTGGAATGTTAAGTACAGTGAGTTATGCTGAAGATGAAAGCAAAGTCAGAAAAGAATGCTACTGTTATTAGTATTAAAAAGGAGCCTGAAACATTGCCATGAGAAACTCTCCTATAACAGCTTGTTTCTTTATAATAGCTCACATGCAAGTTAACATTTTCATAAAGCCTTACTTTTGGGGAAAAATACCATTCCCACTTCTAGGGGGTTCTTGTTTGTTTCTGCAAGTGGCAATTGGGAAAAGAAAGGAATTTTGCATTAGAAGTAGCAAGACAATAAAAAAAAAGCTTATACTTCATTGAAAAATTATTTTGAATTTCTGAGGTATGATGACAATTGATTTTATTTTGCCATAATATGCATTTATATTTTCCTCATTGTGAAAAGTCAAAAGATTAAGTCTACTGCCAAGATGCAGAGCTGTACAAGCAGGATTTTTAAGTAAAGAACAACTGAAGGCGTGTAACTACTTAAACATGTTAAGGCAATGAAGTCAAGGAAAGCATTGCTTCTGCTTTTGACAAACATTAACAAGGAGAAAAGTCCTTTGATGTGACAGCACTGGCAAACTGAGATGACAACATGGGCATGAAGTTAACTATAATCAAAGATTTTAACATGGGCAGAGGAAATGGGATTCCTAAATCCCATATTTAAATAGCTACAGAAACCAGCTTAAAATATTACTCCAGAATTATCCATAAAAAAAGAAAAAAAAAAAATAAATCTACTCTTCAGATCTCCTGCTGTGACTTACTATATCAATCTACTAAAAGCACACACCTGCAATTTGTCATAGAGTATCCAGATGAACTGAGGAGATGCTATCAATTTGTGCATTATTAGAACAAAGATGTCATACATTTTGGTGGCTGGAGTAAATATAAGTGAACCTGACAGTGCTCTTCTGGAAAGGAAATTAGATTTGTCTTATCAAGAAGATGCAACAAAGATCTCCTGAAGCCATGCTTCTCTTCAGTTTTGCCCTATGACTTCACCAATGCATGTGATCTCAGGCTACGAAATTACTCCCCCATCGCTATTATAGTTTGCAGAGCTTTTTTTTTTCCCTTTGACATTACAAAAATAATTGTACATTTCTGCTTCTAAAAATATATCCATAATTAAATATTCCAGATATGTCAAAAATCTGGTTAAATTGCATTATGACCATTCCTGAGCATGCTTTGGTGAGTAAAGGTTAATTACAAATATTTTTTCTTTCCCATCAAGAAATCTGTAGCCCAAGCATTTACGTGAAAAGTTAATACACATGCAGAGTTTTTTCTAATTCCTTGGTTTTGAATAACATTTATTAAGAAGTTAGTTCAATAGTAATAGAGAAGAAGTATCATGCTGCTTTAACCTTAGAAAAAACATTGGGATTCTTCAGCCTTTTTGATAGTCTTTCTGTAACATAGATATACACCTAAACTGTCACAAACTGCTCATACGAAAAGATTTAAAACAGCAAGCATGGACAAGTCTATGCAGCTGATCAGCAGAAATTAAGTAATGGCTACTATTTTTGTATATATTTATTCATGTCTTGAACAACTATAAATTGAACTATGAGTTCCTCAGCATACTGAATAACAGAAATAATTTCTTTATAAAGATACAAATATTAATGCTGCATAGAGTCTTTTCATCACAAATAGCATAGTGAGCCTCTGGCACCAAAGGTAATGAGCAGAAGACAGACTGCAAGAGGAAGATTCTGTGACCATTTCTAATCTTGCTCCTGCTAGAAGGACACTTGCTATTGCAGAAAAAAAGGGTTTGCTTTGTGAAAGAAACAGGTCAGCCCTAAAAAAATATCATTATAGGTAGGCAACTAGGTAAAAAAATTATGACCCAGTGACAAACCAGGGAAAACCTGAGCAGGCAGGAGTGGCTTGGCCCGGCCTATTAGTGACTTGAGAGCTGAGATGACCATGTAGGAGGCTTATTATTATCAGGCACTGCTATCTGAGACACTATGGATTCACTTTTTCAAAACAACAAGCCCCCCTCCAGAATCCAACAGTCTCACCCTAGTACTGTGGAGAGATGAAGAACTACACAGCCACTTTTGACAGAAATTAAAAGACATACTTTTAAAAATAGGGACATACACTTAACAACTAAACTAACGGAGAACAATCAACATGTAATACTTGTAAACTTGTCATCTATTCTTTCTTCCCTCCATTTTTTTCTTTCTTTACCTGCCAGCTGTTCCTCTGAGGAAGGACTGGATCTTTTTAAGTCCTCATTATCATTGCAGTAAATAAAAACAACAGGAGAAAAACCAAACCAAACCAAACCAAAATTCATTACTTAAGCACTTCAGCAACATTTATTTATTAAACTGTAATTGTTCATTATGCCTACATAAATTTTAAGAAATGTTTATGATTACTGCTGTAGTTTTCTAGCAGAAACAACTGCTACAATCTACATTGCTTAATACATTGTGAATAAAAGTCTGTATTGCCCAGTGATTAAAAATCTAAGTGAGAAAATGCTTATGGAGAAAGGAAATACTTTTTAATAAGCCAGCTCAGATAAAGTGGAAAAATGGGTACCTAAATCCTACTATTTCACCATCCCACAATTAAAAATATAAATTTACTCCCAACAGACAATATGAAGGGGTCTTAAGAAACCTCTGTATTTGTACTAATTCTCCCTACTCTCTGGAAACTGAATGGTCTTTGGGTACAGTAAACAAAGGTTTGGGTCATCTGGGGGTGACCACAAAATTAGACAGTAACTTCTAGTCCCATCCCATGCTTTTAATAAGTGATAGATCACTGCAGTATAATTTACAAATGTAAATAATAAATTCTGTAAGAGTATTACCTTTCAAAATGGAACCATTAAGTCCTACAGAAAGTCTCTGCCACCTAATCTCAGATAGCAAAGCTGAATAAACACACAGCTTCAGTCTTCAACTATTATCTGATCACATTGTCTAGCATCATTTTAAAGCTGAATAGGGTCCAGCTAGTGCATTAGCTATATATACTGATTTTGTGGGAATCAATCCAACAACTTTTATTGTACCACTTTCTTCCTTCATAAATACAGATATGCACAGTAGGAATACCACCACATCAATAGACACAAAATTACATGCTTCCTCATACTCCCCCCAAAAAAACCAAAAACACAACCTAGGGGAAGAATATTGTTGACAAACTTCCCACACTGAATTGCATGCTCCCCAGGAGTGAGACTGTTCTTCATTAACAATAAACCTGCCTGTTTATGATTCTTTTATCTCGAAGAAAACTACAGGAAGCAAGAGGAAAGAAAAAGTCTAAATCTCGTTCAGACAACTCTACTCTTCAATTTACAGATTACTTGGAAATTAATTCCTATTTAATAGACTTCAAAAAAATCAAACACTAACCCTAACTGCAGCCTCATGAAACAATGAACTTACCAAGCAGTGCCAACTGCACACATTATTAAGAATGTGACAGTCTTCCTTCTTACCTGCAGCGCAGTGACTCACCACATAAACTGCCATCTTTCAAAGCAGCTGATACTGTAACTTAGAACTGACATTACACATAGCAGTCTACCTTATGAAGTACTTCTCACACTGATTTCTGAGGCCTGCTTTACACCATTTACCTTTCTCATAGAGAAATCTGCAATAAAAGATTGCCACAGCCCCTTTAGAAACAAAAGAAAAACAAATGGGTGGTAATTTAGAAATCCAGCTCTTATACAGGCAATAACCGTCTCTTCCTCCATCACCTACAAAAAGAACCTACAACAGCTGAATTCTAATCCATGGGTACCTGGCTAAAGCTGAGTGAAATCCAGCCTTAGTCTCCTCCTTGTCTTGCAAGCTTATCTCTGATTTTTACTATAGTGTACTGGGCTTTTTCTTTTTAACTGCCTACACTGACACTCTTCAGAAGACAAGAGGTTCATCGCACAAAAGCTTTCTCTGGTATAAATTCACAAACAATAAACATATCTCTGGAGCCTATGATGTGTCAAGGCTTGTCTGTTTTTCATCAGTACTGGATTAGTACATAAATAAAAGCCTCCAGTCCCTTCTCCATGAATCTATTCAATTTCAGCCTTAATGAAATGGAAACAATGAGAACCCCTTGTGCAGTACAGGATGCCAATTGTCCTCCAACAATTTTTGTGTTGGGCAGCTTAGTGGGAGTTCTGAAAAATGAGGTTTAGATTAATGCTAAAATTCAGATATGGTTCTGATGACCAATGCTTGTAACCTAACTGCCAGTGTTGAACATCAAACAAGTTGCCAAAGTTGTCTATCTGGCTACTGCAGGGAACTCTTCTGAAAGCTTTTGGTCTGAAAACGGGGCCTTTTTGAAGAATAGCCCCTTAGGCTTCTTAATGCAGTCTTGATACTGATTTAAGTAGGAAGTCTTGCTTGCAGTACAAAGATGCTTTATTTAAACAGATTCCACATTTCTGCTTGAGTAATTTCATTATTTGATGCTTAGTTTGCAATTCCTCCTGAAATCAAGCATTTAATGTAAGCATTTCACACAAGGGAAAGAAGAGACCAATGGGCATGCATTTAAATCTGTTACCAGAAAATCTGGCCATGATAACCAAACTCAAAGTGACACAAGTGTTCAAAAAAGCACCGGTTACTCTGAATTCCAGCCTTTAAAACAAGTGCATTGAATACCCCATCTTTTCAATTCTATTCCCATTAATACAGCTAGCCAAGCAATTTGTCTTGAAAACAACTAAATGTACCATGGAAAAATAGCAAAACCATACCAATGTTCCTTTTCCTTTTTAAAAATTACAGTAATATCTATTTCAGGTGAGATTAATAGGAGTAGCAAACCACTTTTATTTACTACTAATGCTGTCTACTTGACTCAAGGTCATTTCATTGTATTTGTCTCAGTATGTTTGTTAAAACTCACATAATGTGATTTCATAAGATTATTGTTTTTACCTTACACAGGAACAACTAATGCAAGAAAAGTAAATTTCATTGATAAGAGAAAGTATTAGTAGCTGATTCCCATAAGACTCACTCCATAGAATTCTGGCAAAATCCAGATGATCTACCATATCGGATAAAATAAAGAGAAGTTGCACCTCAGCTGATTCTAAATATTTTATGAATAGGGAAGTCCACTTTTGTATAGGAACAAAAATCAGCATCATGAAAAGACTAACATTATATAAATGACAAATTCTTAAGACCTGTGTCTCCAGCAGATATTTAGCATTGATTTGTACCCATGCATGCAGGTCATACTACCTGCTTTTAACTTACATGGTCAATAAAGCTTGCAGATCATCACGAGCCAGTGGCAACCTAAAGGACTTACAAATAGTCCTGCACATCTCATGAGGCAGCATTCCACATCTACACAAAGAGAAGGGGAGAAGTGTACGTAAGGCATTTTCCAGATTTACTTCAAATGAATGTTGCTGTAAATAGGAAAACACGTAAAGAATATCAGGCTAGAGATAAAGAAAACAAGGTTTTATGAAATTTAGCTACTATAAAGCCGAGAAACTTGAATTGAACATGGTGGCCTGTCTCTCCCACACTGATGTCCTTACTGATTCTCTGTGATTCTTTATCTATGCTACCAGGGTACAAAAAGGGCAAATGAGTCATGCAAAGATTCAGCTACAAATCCCTTCTTTTTTTCCCTTAAATAACTATTTTTCCTCTTTGTTTTATAATACTGCGTTTTGCCTGTGAATGGGCACCTGATTATGTCACAGAATGCTCAGGACAGTATCTATAATAAAAAGTACAACAGTAAAATTAAAAAGAGACAAAAAGACTATGCTTTCTACTGACAAATGCTGAGAAAGGCTTAACAAATAATATCCTTTGGCTGCAATATATCATTTGCTCAGCAACAAACAGAAACGTAGGTCTACAAGCAGAGATTCCCAAATCTCAGGATCTGGGAGCTCCTGATACATAGTGGAAACTTACTTTTCACGGTCATTGTATAGAAACACTGCAGTTAGTTGTTCAAAATTCTCAAACCTATTTTTCTTTAGTTGTTCTTGAGCCACTGCAAGGAGGTAGTGGAGGTCCATTTCATATTCATCTTTCACACCATAATAGCGCCCAAGAGTCACCATTTCATGGTCTGAAAGCGCTCCATCAGTGATACTGACTATCAAATTTCTGTTCACAAAAACAATAGCCTACATTAGATTTAAGTAAATGAGTTAAAAACAGTTAATAATCACTCAGTTTTATGGGGAAAAGAAAAAAGGATTCAAGTGCACTCATTATATAATGCTGTATTCAGATCTTTAAAGAATGTATCTACTTAAATTTGAAATCCAGATATCTTATAATGGAAATTACCTGAACTCTTGAACTTCCCAGGATGTCCACATTTCCTCAGCAGTTGACTAAACATACAAAACCACATAATAATGATGACCGAAGCCTTTTTCCAGAGATACCATACTGACACGGAATATTAACAGAGATATTTTGGCATCACATTTATGCAACAAGACAGTGAATTAACAAAATTCTATCAACAAACATAATTTTTCATTGCTTCCTCTCAGAGGCTTGTGCGGCCCTGTTCAAATGAAGATGTCCCTTTGTAAAATACAATTGTACATATACAGCTGTTCAAAAAAGGATGCTAAGCACTGTATAGTGTCTACTTTGACTCAGCTACTGTTTTGTTTGGGGTTTTTTGTAATAAGTAGATGAAAAAAAATCCTTTATTTGCAGTAGCAGGCGATAAATATAAGGAGAAGACAGGTTGTTGACAGTAGCAAACCTTGAGATTATGAAGACTCAATGACCAAAACTCAGTCAGTTACTGAATATTATGATTTATATTGTAGTAGCATAGAGATCCAGTCAAAACTGGAGCCTGCAGTAATACTACTGCAAATACAAATAAGAGGACAATACTGTCAGATAAGTAAACACACTCTAAATGCTTGGGCTGGCAAAACTGAAAGCATAAATAGCATCCATCTGAATATTTCCACAGACTGGATTTCCATACACAGCCCAGATTTTTCTAGTGTCAGGATTTTAAATGTCTTTCATTTCCTCAAGTCAGTCAGTTAACAATCAAGTCACCAAAACCCCCAGATAAAACTACTGTCTTATTTGGGAAATTAAGCACTATTTTTGTGATTTCTAGGGACTACTGAGTGAGACCCAAGATTCACAAACAGAATTACATCTAAACTCTTCCTACTAAAAGAAACAAGCTGCAGCAATTGTTCCCACAGCTCTGTTATCTTCTGTTCTACTTTTTTTTGTGTTTGTTCTAGAAGAATAAGACAGATTGCAATCTGAATTTGGTAGAGAAAGAAAATATAACCATTAGATGCTTAATACAGCTGTTTCCAAAGCTGAATTGAAGATAGACATCTTTGTTAAATCCACATGGCTCTTTGTCTCTAACAGTCAACAGTCTTGCCAATAAGTTATGAGACAAAGAAGCTTGGATAGGACCATATGATGCACAGGCATCTATGTTTTAGTTATTTTTCTCTTCTCTTTTTAACAAAGCTTTCAATAGTTTTAATGATAGCTTAGGGGATAACTTCACTGCACACCATGCATTTATTTCGTGGATGATGTGCCATAGATTTGGGTTCTGAAAGTAGTTAAATTGTATAATTACAATTCTGCTTCACTACATCATACTTATAGGTGTATTTTTAAATGCAGCTCATAAAATCACTTAGGTATAAAGGAAGAAATCTGAACAGGCAACTTCAGAGGATGGATAGTAAAGCTTTAGCTGTATTTAGGATAAGAGGATTATCATGCTGGTTGAAGCTATCACACAGATAATTGCCTGTACTAAAAATAATCATTTGTAGCTAGTCATAATTATGAAATGCCATGACAGATTATAAATAAACAGTGATGTACACAAGAAAATACAAAACTGAAAGAAAAATACATATTCTATTCACAGAAAAATATATTTGACTTTTCAGAGATGCAAAGAAGTGCTGTCATCTTTGTCATTAAAAATGTTTCTTTCATTCTATAAGATACATGGACAATAAAAAGAAGAGAGCCTTTAGATTACTGGTTATAATATGAACAAACAGAAACAAAACCTACTCTCACTATAAAGCACAAAAGTTAAATGTTCGTAAGAGGTAAATTCTTCCTCTGGCCATGTGAATGCTTCCTGTTAGATCCCCTGTGGTCCCACCACGGGAGGGATATAGGCCATTAATAGGTGCTCAGTCTGGCTTAGATGAGCATTGAGGATGCGACAACACCTATAACAGGGTTCCCCTGTTTTCTGTCTTTCTCATGAAGAGGGCTACTGTATTTTTGTTACTGAAACCAGGGGCCTCAATACCATACAACTAGACATACCTACTCCAAGCCGCAGAACAGCACTACCCTAAATTAAACAGCTGAGCTGATCACAGCTGCACAGAATATGACTGTGATTAAATTTACACTCAACTGAGACTCTTTTTGATAAAATTAAAATATTTCTTTGCTGTTTAAAAGCACAGTCATCCCTCCTAAAAGTGTGCTCCACCAGTTTTGTCATGCAAACGTTCCAGAACTTTGACCTGCTCGTAGCGCATGTAAGAACATGGTTTTGCAGATGATTATTTCATAACCTGAATAAAAACTGTAATTATTTTATTTTAAACAGTTATTGTCAATATAAATTAAAACCCTATTCCAAGTGCTATAACGTTTCTTCAGATACACACTTTCATTTTCTCCCCTTCTTACTCTAGTAATAACATTTTCCCTCCTAATGCAATTAACAATTCAAAATCTTGCTTCTATCAAGTAAAATATTTGAGTCTTGAAATATTTGATCAAAACCTACCAATTAGCATTGCCTCTGAGTTTAAATCATACTTTTAATCACTTATTTTTAATTTCTGAATACCAATGTGTTTTAATTTCTCACTACTTTCACTTTGAATTGCTGGAAGAACCTTCTGGTGATCTATATGTCTTCTGAGATATTTCAGAAGCAATTTCTGCCTAGGTTAACATTCCTATAGAGCTAACATTCCACACAATACACACCTACCTATATGCTTTAGTCACTGTGACAGTTCCTTAATACATCGTGTATGACCACTGTGGAAACCAATTGCTTTTAGGTAAAATTTCCTCCTGTATTCCACATCATTAACTTTACCACCACCCAACACAGTTCATATGCTCAAGTATTCTGGCTGTGGAATAAACTGAAATCAGCTTGCATTTAAGCATGTATCTATACATTTGCCCGTTGCCATATCTGGATCATTACCAGAATCGATGATTAAAGCCCCAAATAACACCATTTTCAGGAGAAAACTCAAACATTCCTTCTTGAATTTCAAAGCTACTAATTTATTTGACTCTTAGGATGGACTTTTCTTTATCTTTCAATGTGCATATTACTGCTGACATCTTCACAACACCCTGTGCTAGCTCCATAAGAAGTTGACAGACTTGAGTTGTGCTTTTCAGCTTACTTGAAGCTATCACATTTCTCCTTTTTTCTGGGGCATGGATTCTATGATTCTACAATTCACTTTCTTTTTCACACACAGTCTCCAAGCAAATGCAAAACAAATGTATGCCATTTGTCAGGTAACACCGATGCAGAAAGCATCAAGAAACAGTCACGCTCTGTAAATTTTTGGGGAACGTGCCTTCATTATACACTAATACCAAAACCCACTGTCTTACCTGAAAGCGTCATACTCGATCACCTTGTTATGGTCTGGGTCAGTGGCTGCAAACAACTGTCTGATTTCTCGGGAACGAGGTTCGGTTATACCTTTCAGCTTCTTGAGGATGGCACCAACATCAGCCACAGAGAACTTAACAGAGGAAAGCAAGACATAGATTAGAGGGAAAACCACTATGCAACCAACCATGCATGTACCAACAAGAGTTGTCAAGAAGCAGAGAAACTGTGAACTGCTCAGGATTATCTGTTTCTTCATTGCCTCATTTCAAATGCATAAATGAGCACTGTGTGAAGTTTGGACAGAACCTTGGTACCGAAAAAAATTTGCTTCCTGCCAAGACTATAAAAAATTGAACAAAAAAATATTAGATCATGCACTCTCAGAAAACTATTCCAGCTACATAAAGGAGATGTACTAAAGCTTCTGCTAAAGCAGAAGCACACACATTTTAAGTACAGTTCCAATAACTTGTTCCTCATTTTACGTTGGTGCACCTCACTTAATTCTCAATTAATAAATTTCACCAAGTTAAAACTAATCTTTTCACCATTGTCTCCAATGAACTGTTCCAACAGATAGTCTCATTCGTATTAGACTACATTGTCTTACATACTTAGAATTAGCAGATTGAAAATTTATTAGGAACCAACTATTTTAAGGGTATTTAAAGTCTCTGTGACACTGCCAGAGCAGTACAAATTGGTCCAAGTTTAATTATTACATCACTGGTTGCAAGTAAAATGCTCAGATTTAGAAAATATGATCATTGCCTATGCCAAAACTCCAGGTACAACCCTGGCATGCAATGCCCTGCAAGGCAGTGGTGTGGAGTAGCTGGACCAGCAATCAAAAAGTTTTAGAGACCGCAGCAACTTTTTTGCTCCTTTCCCAAACAAGAACATTGTTTGAACCAAAACACAAAGCTTTTTGCTGAAAAAGCAAGGAATAGAGACTGAGAAAAACTGAGCAGAAGGAATCAATGAGCAGAGTATTTAAAGATGGAGAAATTGTTCATCTGTTTAAAAACCTACCTTCTCTACATTATCAAAGGAGTCATTTTTACACCTTTTTTTCTAAACTACAAATTCCAAACACCTATATAGATATTGAGTGTCCAAGCAGCATGGCAAGAACTCTTCATCCACTTTCTCCCCTTCTCAAGTAGCTGACATGCTAGTAGCCACAATCTAGTTTTGTTTGATTGTCTAGCTTAATCCTGAGTTTATTAAGTTGAATTCAGTGACAGTAAAAACAACCTTCATGTTTGTGCTACAGAAGAAAACAAAGTTTGAACAATTGGGACTGTTTCAGAGATGATGAATTCATTTCCAAGGAGACACAGTGATGCCTTGTTCGAAAGAGTCGTCTTCAAACTCAGATAATACCAGTAGGACTGTGCACAACACACATGTTCTGTTTCACAAGCAAATTCACACTTTCTAAATACATTTTTATCCTTCAAATTGGAAAAGAAACTGAAAGTGTTGAAAAGTTTGAGAATTAGAGAATTAAAGTTATTTTCAGTACAGGTGGCAATCAAAATGACAAGATTCCACTATTTTTTCTGCCCATAACTTAAAAACAATAAATACAACTTTGAAACAATAAATACAAAATAAATACAATTTTGAAACAAAATATTAAAAACTTTCCAAATATCTCTTATGGTGTCAAATGTTCCAATGACAGCAAAAACAATTCCCATCTGCACTATGAGTACCAATCAAAATTTCATCTCAATCAACATATGCCTATAGAAATGTGGTCAAAATAGCATTTTCCAGAAGAAAAACATTCCATCTGGATTTCTTTCACCAGTTTTCAGAAAACATACCAATGTGTTCTTCTGAAAGGTAATCTCTGTCTATTCAGAAGGAAAAAAATTTCTTGTCTTATTTTAGAAATAACTGACAAATAGACATCTTAAAATTGTTTCTCCCTCTTCAAACCATCTTCCAGTTCTGCTTTTCCCTAATAATTGCTGAAGTTCTTACGGTTTGTGTATGCAATCCCCTGATGAACTGAGGCAAACCAGGTGTGTCTGTACTTCTGGAGCTCTATTCAAAGGATGTGAATAAAATATCTATCATTGGGATAATAAACATTATTTTTTTTCTCCACCAGGTGTTTTAAAATGTTAACTGTGCAAAGAACATTTCAAAATTCACTTTAAAGAAGCATTTTTAGTGTTGCTTCTTCCCATTTTGCAGATTTTATTTCAATAATATGGAATCATTCAGTCTGGAAAACTAAGATGTCACCTCTTTGATCCAAGATAATCAATGCAAACAGCAGTTCCAAAGAACGTTTATAATCCAGTTATGTGTTCTGTATGTTGGAGAATAACTTTGGGTTTGATTATACTAGGAGGAGAAACAGTCCAGCAGTAAGAAAATATAATGTATAGAGCTTTGCCTTTTACTGCTTAAAGCATTTAGCAGTCATAGCATTTTACATCAACAAGCATTTTGCAGATCTTCTTCCATATTCACAGGTAAGCAGGTGCTGCTAACGCCACTCTAATTTACAAAGATATCACACCGTTCTGCTATTTTCATTTGAGAGAACAGCATTCGTGGCCCAAAGGCAGCAGAGGATCAGGTTGCACCTACCTCCACCTCATCAGCACAAGGGCACAGCAGTCCTCAGGACTGCGCTACGCCTACTGATGTCTTGGGAGTCCTGCAGGTTCACTCACTTTGATGAGACAGCAGACACTGAATGATTAAAACTTGCATTAAGGACCTTCTCCACCCACAAAAAGTCCAGACGAATGGGCAGAAAACCACAGCTTAATAAACCCTCTTGGATGTTTTCCCTAGGCATGCTTTCAGCAAGCCTAAGCAAAAGGGCAGCTCTGGAGAAGGTCTGCTGAAGGCACAATTCATGCTGCTGCCCCGCCATGAGCTATGAACCCATGTATTTATTGTTGCTTTCCCCTCTGAAGGCAACACAAAAAGGTATGTATTGAGTGAAACTCTTTACAAACTATAAGCTTCAATTTCTGACTGTGATATGAATTTCTAAGATTACAATGGAAACATTTTGGCAGATAAATATGCATTAACCCAAAAATCAATTCAGGGAATAAAATAGCCTAATCAGTAAGTCTCTAACCTGGATGTGCTCACATCTTGAGTGCTGTGCACTGTTGCAGTCTCCACATCTTACAGTTCCCTTGCAAGGACAGAAAAAAAGGCTGAGGGGGAAGAATGTCTGAGATTTACAAAATTATGCTGGTAGTGCAAAAGGTTGAATGGAGATCTTCACTAAACCCCAAAACACTAGAATTGGCATTTAAACTAGTGAGATGTTGGTTTAAAACAGATAAAAGATACTTCTTTTATCATATATTTTTTACGTAGTAGCCAGTGAACTTTTCAACTTGCTACCACAGAAAGCTGTGGAAACAAAGAGTATCTGTAGGTTAGAACAATTTGGGAACAAGAGGTCCATAAACAATCTCAAGAAGGAATAGGCAGAGAACATACCTTCTATCAACCCTAATACAATAGAAGTGGATGCTGAGAAAGTAGAAGGGAAATGGACTGTAAAGAGTGGCCAAGCTTAGACTCCATAGCTATCATCTCCTAAATCCAATGCTATCAGAGAGCACTGGGCTGTGAGCTTTGGATGAAGAAACTGGGTATAAATAATTCTGAAAAATATATAGAAAAGGTACAGTCTTTAAAGATAATAGAAAATAACAAGAGCCTGCTTCACCTCATTTGCATGCTTCTCCATGTAGTTCAGTGTGTATTCATCAGCATCCACCAAAAGAAAGTTGTGACCATGGAAACAAACACTTGCTCCAACAAACAGATCCTGAGCCTTGAAGTATTCAGATGGCTCGCTCTTAAAGAGCTCCTGTCCAGGCTTCTTAATGCGACCTCTTTCCAAGAACTTCCCACCAAGTATCCCTATGGAAATAGAATTGTTAATAATTAATTGTGGCTTTACTTGGAAAAAAGAAGAAAAAAACAAACACACACAGAAAAGAAAAGCCAAAAACCTTCCCAAACCAGTTTATTTGTATTTAAATATTAGTTTTCATCACTGAGTTTCTTGTCTCATAATATACTCTCCCCCTCCCTCTCAGAGCAAAAAGAACTGTCCCTGTCAGTGTCCACAGCAACAATTATATTGTGCATATTCTGTGACATGTATCACTTGAATGCCTGCCAAACACCTTTCTTTTTTTAATTTTCTTTTAAATGGGACAGAAACATGCTTCTTGAAATCATTCCCATAACCCCATTGCCAGCCTTGGGACTGCCCCTTGAGAAATGTAAGACTCGAAAAGCAAGATGCAGGCAATTATCCTTGAACAGTTAAAGAAAAAGAGAATTTCACAAATTAGGATAACACAGTCCTACAAAGATCACAAATTCTGCTGCACTGTAATTCTAACTTGTTTTTAAGGGCTTTTGGTTAGATTATTTCTTTTCACATTGTAATGATTTTATTCATGCCACTGGAAACTGCATGTGGTACTCAAGGGTATGTAAGATACCAAAAGGAACATTTCACTTTCCAGTAATAGGTTCTCATGCACAGGATTGCATTGCGTGTACCAAGCTTTCTAGAGAACATTCTGTCACATGTTTAGTTTCATCAGGATATGTGTCCTACAACAACACTGGAATCCCTGGGATTTGTTTCCTGTTCATATTTGAGCCTCCAAGCCAAAAGCATACTTTAGTAATGTTTAATGACGTCTTACATATTAGGTAGTGATGCAAGTCCAATGAAAGGCTGATGAACAATGTAATAAGATGCCTTTTATAGTCAAAATTATAAATGAATGTGAAACCCAAACTACTTATTAAGCCAGAGTTTGGAGCAGGTCTGTCTTAATTGCTTCATTAGCTCTATAAAAGCAAAAGACAAAAAATACACTATGGTAATGGTCAGACCTAGCTTGACTCAAAAAACATTTCAAATCACTAATGTAACTCTAATCTTAACACATTCCTTTTCACCTAGCTATTAAAATAAATATGAAAATTCAGGTTATATAATCTTGGCAGCTCTTTGTAATATTTAAATAGAATTGGTCTCTGTAACATTGGAATTTCACTTTTGTCTCTATTTCTCTGCAACTGTGCACTTAGACTGGAAATTCATCTTAATAACTCTGTTCCATAACTGTTTCTTAAATGTTATGGGTTAGTTCATCTCAAGAGGTATAAAGAAAAACAACCAAAATACCTCATTAGGTCAGAGATTTTACACTGAAACCTGATGAGAAATTTTGATGGAAATCTACAAAAGCCAGGCTCAAAGCACAAAATAAACACGACAACCAAAGACCCTCTTCCATTAAGATCAGATCAGACTTTGCAGGTGTTTGTACAGCTGTTGGCTTGGTCTTACACTGAGTAAAAAAGGGGATGTGCTCTTCTGCATGGGGAGCCAAAGTTCTCATGCTTTGACCCCCATCTCAAAAAGTGTTTCAAGATGTCCAGGCCTGTGCATTTTAAATGCAGTTTCCCAGTGTTACTAACAATGTGAAGTACTCCTCTGCAACCTTCAGCATGCTGGACTGACAAAAGTAAGAGCATTCTACTTCCATTCTAGGACTGAGATTTGAAACATTTTCACTTGCCAATTTGCATCAATTCATGCAAATAAAAAGGCAAAAATAGCCCTTTGAACCTGTGCACAAAAGGGATGGTTATTTTGGGAATCATTTACTCTTTTAACACATCCCCTCTCTAAGACATGCTCAAGCTTACTCTTCCCCCATCCCATCCACTTCAAGATTTTTCTTTCTCACATATGAATGTTCTTCACTCCCATTTTGTATGCCTTGATCCTTTTCCCTCGCTGCCTTTATCTGAACTCTGCAAAACCTTCTCAGGCTTAATCTCAAAGAAATCCACTCACTTTTCCTTCAGACATGACTAAAATGAGAGGGAGAGAGAGAGAAGAGAGAGAAGAGAAAGAAGAGAAAGGGAGAAGAAAGAAGAAGGAAGATGGGAACAAGAACTTCTGCAGTCCCAGGGCTCTTTCCAAATACTGCTCTACCTTCCCCTCTCCCCCTCAATCCCTACTTATCCTGCCTCTTCAAGGCTGTTCTCACTAAACTCTCCAATGGATAGTTCTTAGACACATCCTCCCACTTCACCTTCCTACCACCTCCGAAAGTCAGCTACTCCATCCACTTTAACATCCCAGGGAAGTTAAAAACCCATTTACAGGATGATTGCCTTTCATATGCATCTTAAAGCATTTGTTATTGTTGGTGTGCAAACTTGCCTATTTATTTTAGTTACACATTGGTTACACATTTTGTTTGACTAGCAACGTTCAATAGGCTCCCAGCTGCAATCTCATCATATATTCTTCATCCCAAAATAAAAGAAGGTCAGGAAGCAATCTCTGGCCTGGCACCCAACTGATCACATTTGTACTGCACAGTGTGTGGCTCTGACTGCTCTGGGTGCTATGTGATAAATTTGGGGTCATAAGACACAGCTATAATTTTATGTGTTCAAACTGTTTGAAGGCATGTGAGGGCTGTGCTGCAGTCAAAGTGACGTTTTACTGCATAAAACTCAGGATTACGTATTCCAGCCCTTGGGTGTGTTAGAAGGACCTGAATATTTGAGTGTGCAAAATCTCCTGGGACAGTGTCAGATGACTGATAAGGGTACAGCAAGCCAAACCTGGTGCAGCCTTGTCCCAGCTTCCTTGTGGGAGAGTTTTCTGGAGTTAAGCATCCTCCAGGAGGGGTCCCAGGCTCTCTAGAGCCTTGTCTAGTTGCAGTGATGCAAAGGTGAACCAGGAGTGACCAAACAGGCAATACATGTGATTGGGGTCCAAGATTCACACTGTTCCCTGGACTTCTGTAATTTAACAGTGCAGCTGTACCCTTAGCATCCTGTATGTCTCTGGACATAAAGAATGCCAATCAAACATTTCATTCATGAGTGGAGAACTGACCTGCTTTTGAGGCTCACAGCAGCATTACATAATAAATATATATATATGTGTGTGTATGTGTACTTAGCTGTAATAAAAGAAGTTGCATAAATTACAGGTCACTGGATGGCAGGAAACTAGTGAAATAATGATGACATGACACCGCTGCCATAAACGGTGCTAAATCTTGATGTTGCAGTGGAGAGCAGGGCTTACTGGGAATGCTCGTTGAAGCCTAAGCATGTACTCTACACATTTTGAAAACACATCCCAAAGAATTGCTTGTATCCTAGTTGGGGGTGAGGTTCCTATTTATGCATTCTTAATATAGTTGGATACAAACAAAGATGCCATTAGAAGTTCTTTGCACTGAAAAGGCTTAGGCATTCCCAAAACTGTACTCATGTTCAGGGTAGTCAAAAGGACTTAGCAGCACCACTGGTATGGAAAAAGTTCTCCAGGAATACAGAAGGGTCTACATATTCACCATACATTCATTTTATATGGATGTGATGTGTGTCATAGGTCTGAGAAAGATTAACTTCAGAAATCATTTTCAGTAAAGGCTTAAGTGTAGGATGGCAAGAATACAGTCCTTAGGCTGAATAACTGGACCCTAGAAAGTCAACTGCTGGCACCAAAGCCTGAAGCAAAGGGAAGTGAACAGTCCTCCCTAGGACAGTCTTTCCTCTAAACAGTGAGCTGGGAGTACCAAATAGGTCAATGATGAGCACAGTGACCTGGTCACCATTGCAGGGTGTACCTCAAATAACATTCTAAGGTGCTCTGTGCCAAGAATCCAATATAGGGCAACTTTAAGCAGTATCAGAAGAACTAGTCATGAAGTTCCACAAGAGCTTAATATGGTAACTAAAGAAACCTTCTATTACTCTTTTTCCCTTGTATTTGAGAGAGTGCGATTTCCTGATTTTTTTTTTCTCTCTGTGGTTTTATCAGAGGCTGACAGCAGCTTTTAAGAGTCAGTCCTTCAACTGCACATTGAGAGGTGCCAGAACACTTCTGGATGTTAACTGCTCTGAAACTGCTCCTGCAGATGTTTTGTGGGCTTCACAGAAATACACTAATCTCTCCAACAGGGTCATGTTTAGCCAAAGCTTCCTAATCTTTCTGAGTTACAGAATGACTTTCTGACACCCCTCCCAGTGCTGTGTCCTTCCATCCATGCACAAGACACTGCAAGGAAATAAAAAGATGCTTGAAAATCACAAAACCTTTCAAATCCTCTGTTGGAGGCAGTCTACAAGAGATAACAGTGGTCAAAAGAATTTAACCATGACAACACTGGGTGACCATGCTCCAGCAATGGAATAAATGTGATCAAGCAACTGAGAAGTAACAAAGCATTTGCCACTTCAACATTGGTAGTCTGGCTCTTGAAATTCAGTTAAGTATTGTATACATACACATGTACAGACACTACCACAGGGCATTCTTTATTCCTTATATGCTCAACACTACATCATTAATGATAAAGTATGTTAAAAAATACAACAGCTGGTTTGCTTTCATGAGCTGCTTCTATACAATGAATGCTATATTGATTTCATAACACCATAACAGAATCTCACAAAACAAAGGACTTACTCTTTCATTCTTGATGTCCTACATTTCCTGTCCCTATTTATCATCAGTTATAACACAATTCCTGTACGTTACCCACAACAAAAGCAAATGTTTAAAGGCCAAATTTGCAAATTAAAATGTAATAAAAGTTCTATGCATTAAACTTCCAATTCACAAAGGATATTCTGAAGTACTGTCATACAATGAAGAGTGTTATTCTGAGTGATTAAGACTATAAATTACTATGACACTCAGCTATGCAAGCTAGTGCAGTAGACCTGCTGACATCATTCCCACTGCATTTAGAAATCCACATCCCTGCTTCTCCTAGTGCTGTCTGGCCACATTTACCGTAAACTCTAATCAAATGAGTAGGGCAACCTGGGACTTACTGCAAGACATTACTACATCTCACCTGAGTTTCGCTGAGCATGTTCAAAAACTGAAATAGTGTCATCACTCAGGAAGTAGGAAATAATCAATTTCCTATCCTTGTCAATAGGACTATCTGTGATGAGTTTTGCAAGAAAGCGCAGTATGTTACTTTCCATGCCAATTCTAAAAAGCAAAAGAGATAAGAAATCAAAAACAGAGTATAAGAAAAGTTTTCATCATTAGGAGACGCATCCTCTGAGTTTTGTAACATACATTGTGTTATTCCTGGACCAAGAAGTGAAATGGCAGAAGTTTCCCTACTTTGTCAAGAACCATTTTCAGCATGAAGAACCAGCTAGAGGCAGCCAGATAGAAAGGAGTAATTTTCAGGGGAAAATTACTTCTCTGCTGCAAGTCTGGAATGAATCTGTATTCAAATGCAGTTGCAAATCAAGCTAAAAGGTTCTTTCCAGAAAAATTATAAAGGAATAACATATTTAGTTATTTATATTTTAAAATCAAATTCTGAATAGCAATACGTACTAGGATTATCCCACAAAATCAGGCCCACCAGATGATCTTACTAGTTGGATATTTGTTAAGTGATTACATTTTAAATTATTTACAGTACTGCTATATGCACTATCAATACATTCCCAAGCCTTTTTCTAACAGCTTTCTTCTTCTATGGAGGTTCTATGGGTGAATCTCTAGCATGTGACACTGCTTTCAGCTTAGGCTGAAACACCCTTACCAACACCACACCCTTACCAAATCATTTCATAATGGAAAGTAAAGAGTTAATGCTTTAATACTGCTACAGCAAACTGCATGAAATTCGTCAGACAAAAAAAGTAAATGCCAGAAAGTCAAACAGAAAAACAAATCAGTGTTGGAATGATTCCTGCCTAACTTCTCAATGCAGACTTCCATCAAATTCACACTGAAGACAGCAGAAGGAAATCATAGAAACAACTAGGTTGGAACAGAGCTTTAAGAACATCGAGTCCAACCTTAAAAAAATA